TCCTCCAAAAGCTGCAAAGGGGGATAAGAACACGTTGCTAAAGGGAGACAAAGAACGTCCTCAAGATCGGAAAAGCTCTGTGAAGACTGGGAGAGCACAGGGACAAAACCATGCAGCAAAAATTTGTCTTTAATCCAAACCAGGCTCTGACCTGGCTGAAGGGATGCCAGCCAGTTCATCTGAGCTCCAGGCCAGTTCTGCGGACACTGACCTTTTTGCACTGAAAACCAGAAACAGGGTGCCTGGCATTGCTTAAAATAAGACGACAGACGTCTCCGATGAAGGCGGTAGGAATCAGTGACTGCATTTGAACACCAGCCTTAATTTTTTGGCCAAGTCTCTGCCAGTGTTCAAACACCTCCGCCCTTGAGTGCTTCAAGCAAAAAATGAATTGTGGTGAGGATGAAGGGCAGGAAGTCTTCAGAAAAAGGAAACAAGCTCGAGTGAGAAATTCCCCTTCACCTTTCAAACAATAGCTCATACTTGCGAGTTTTTTGAACTAGCAGCTAAAAGGGTAGTTTTTGAAAGAAATATTGCCTGCTGGGCTAAATCAGGTTGCTAGAAAAGGTGTCAGCAATTTTAGTAACAGTGTGCTCCTTCACAGATTACTGGTGTGAAGTGCGGGGCAGAGGATTGGGTGGCTACAAAATGCCCAGCCCCATCCTCCCGCTCTCATCCCTCTGCTTTAGTTTTGATCCAGAAAAGTGCATTATTATCTCCCTTAGAAACTTGTCCCTATGGCAACATATAGGGCAACACACAGGACTATCTTGATGCAGACATGCTGGTACTTCGACAGCTCCTTCTTTTTGTGACACTTCCCATGGTAACATCCTGAGGTTGTCAGAAAGATGACGTGGGAGCGCCTGTGTCCAAGATACCATTTGGATGATTTCCTACTGAGAACTTGTTTTTGCAGTCTTTCACTCTTCTAGCTCTTGAACTCTCGGTCTGTATATCACGACTGCAACTTTATCTGAAATGTGTTGCAAAATCTATGTATTTGCCTTTATCAGCAAAAATCCGTAACCTCAAATGAGATGTTTTTGACAAGACCTACTTTCCATAAAGCCACGCTGCCAAGTGCCACATGGTGCTTCTGCGGTTCTTTCTGAACTGAATCCCACACGGGCTCTTCCCTGGTTTTGTTCAGACGCTGACAAATTTTACTTGTACCTACGCTGCCAACACGATGAATTTCTAGCTACCCTCTTCATATGCACCGTTACTTGCATCAACACTCATCACTTTTTTTCCACTCTGTTGGAAGCAAATATGCTACATCTAAGCACGCCATAAATTTACCAATTAATGTGTGCTGCTGGCTGTGGGTGATAAGAGGGAGGGTGAGTGTATGCGCGGTGATAACCTTGAGCTCCGTGGATCACAGTCAAGACTTCTGGTTTCAAAAGCATAAAACTCCTTCCCAAGGGCAGTCGCCAGGCACAGCCGACAGCTCCAGGCTATGTCCTAAACATCTATAGGGTCAAGAAAAGTCGAGACCCTTTGGAGTGATGCTCACAATGAAACCTGTCACAGCTGGGCTTTTGTTGCACGCCAAGACGTGATAGCACAAGGTACAAGGGTGTTTTAATCCCTACTGAACAGAGCCAGATGTCTAACATTTCACATGAAAAAAAAAAGGTTAAAAAAGAAACTGTGGTCTGTGACACCACGATGTACTTAAAACTTCTTTCATTAAACAGCGCAGCCGGTATCGAGGTAACCTCTGATCCTGGCTTTAAAGTTCACAAGCCTCCAGAGTTGCTTATTTCTTACCAAGAACAAGAGGCAACTTGGAACCTTGCTCTCACTGCAGGAAAAGTCAGGTGTGGATGAATATTGACACAAATTAAATCACGCATTTGCGTGCTTGCTCTTCGAGAAAGTGCAGGGGCACTTTGCTCAGGTGTGCCCTCCTGGCAGGTCCCAGAGGGTCTTGTCGTCTTTGAGAAGACTGGGAAAATAAGGATACGCTGTCTGTGCTTGCTAAGACCAAGAGGGTATAAAGAAATCACGGAAAGTGTGATTTGGGGCTACCTGTAAGTCCTACAAGTTACAGTTATAATTGAGAGTTTCTCTCACTTATCAGAAATTACGAATCTTGCTTCAGAGATCCTTTCTTGAAGGCGTGAGGCTAACATTAAACTCAAACCCAGTACTTACCCAGCTGACCCACTACGATAGATTCAACTAGTACCACAGACAAAAAAGAAGTCTTATCATTTTTAGTTGCAGCAGAAGGCATTTCATTACCAGTTTCTGCTCCTTTTGTCTCAACTGCCTGTCAACATTAAGGAAGACAGAAAGAGTACGCCACTGCGCCAGGGACGATTAGACTTCAGAACAACCAAAGACAATTACTTTCTACTTTACATACGACTGGGAATAGCTCTGCACAGTCATGGCAATGGAAAATGTAACCTATTTCCTGCATTTTTGATGAAGTTTAAAACATATTCCTTCTTCTCTGTTCCATTTTTTTCTGTGCTTGCCTCCCTACTAATGTTTACGCCAAGAACCATTGTGAAACCCCTCTGACATCATCAATCCATAAATACGGTTTACCATTTCTAGATGGATACACACGTGCACACTTCAGGTTCATAATTAGGCAGGAAATATGTCAGACCCATAAAAAGCGAAACACAGCCCGTTCCATGCTGGGTGGCAGAATCAAACGGAGGCGGTGGGAGGCTGTGAGCTGCCTGAAGATCTGAGTCCTGGCTGTAGTCAGGAGCGACAGATGGTGTTTGTCAAGAGGATAGAGCCTTACCTTCTTATTTTATCATGGAAATATCACAGTAAGAAAACTATCAATATTCACTATTTTAGCTAACATTTAAGAAA